ACCAGGCAGGAAATCAGACACAGAACGGCACAGAGAATCCGGTCAATTTTCAAAATTATACACCCTGTGGCAACTCCCGATCGTAAAACAACAATAAACACGGTTAAAACAGACACAAAAGGAAAAAATTTAAATATGTAGCCTACTTAATCATAGTAGAAGCACAAAATGCAAACAAAATCTAAACATGTCAGCAAAACCCTCTGATTCTGAAATGCTCCCTGTGGGATATGCAGCCTGAAGTTGACGGAACGAAACGGGCTCACAGAGTGCTGTGAAAAAGGTAGTAGAAACACAAAAAGGACAAATTAATAACAAGTAAATAACGTGGGGCAGGCTGCACGCTCCGCTGCTGAAACGCTTCTGAGACTCTTCCAGTGGATATTGACGCCGGGCCATGGACGCATCAAAACCGTGGCGCAGCTGTAACATGCTGCAGCCGGAGTCAGTGGATTCCTGGCGTTAGATGTGTAAATATGAAACTACTGCCAGAAGATAGAAACAGCTAGCCCCTCTAAAGCAAACTTATTAGCACTTATTGACGTGTTACACCTTGTGTGTTTAATATGTACTGAAAAATATGTATGATGATAAAACATACGAGGTCCGTCCTTATACCCACAATACCTGTACAACATGACAGGATGGATTCAGTGTGAATGCAATCATGTGGTCACCTGTTGGTGTGATCTTTTCCTTAAAGTTCACAATAACCATGTCAATACTAAAATCTTTACGCAGTAATCTTTACATTGTCTAAACTGTTAAAGGAGTTTGAAAGACAATAAATCCCAAAACATGAAGCTTACAAATCAAACTGATTCTAAACAAACTTGCCAGTAAAATTTTGAAGAAAATGTTGTTTTTTGTAGCCTTTGTTCTCCAGATTAAACATGTATCATACACTTAGCAGCCAGTTTATCGGGTAGTTTAAACAAATGTAGTCTAATACAACAGTCCTGCAAAGTTTATGTTGAAACTGTTTTAGAAAGGTGTTGATTTAACTTGATGATCATTCTGGAGGATGTAGTTTGTGGTGCTGTTGAACTGTACTGTGTTATAATGAGAGGAGTTCATAACATTAAGTCTAATATACTTTATTGGTGTAAATGGGGTGGACAAAATATTAGAAACACTTCTCAGTATAATGCGATATATAATTCAACAGCTCTATGACTTTAGCCGACCATGAAATTGGATCAACACATCTCTAAAAATGTATATTCTAAACTGGACAAAGGAACAGGTGTGTTTTGCGCGACTGTTGTATTAGTTGCATTGGTTTCATACACGTGTGAGAGTACAAACATTTTCTACAACCTCCGTAGATGGTCGTCACTGGTTACTAAATACATATGTATTCAAAATATCAGATCTGTAAGTGTAAGTGAAATAGCTTAATGATGACCACGTGCTTTGGATAAAAGCGTCAGCTAAATGAATACATGTAAATGTAAATATAGATTATATTCAAAATGGATTTAATCAGAAACTAAGATGTCAAAAAATGTATCAAGACATTTGAACTCCAACTATGTTTAATAAGTTAGAAGGAATTAGAGTGGACCTATAGTGCCAACACAAAAGTTAGTTAAAATAACATAAGTCCTCCAATAAATGCATCTGCCATTTAGATAATGTATTCATTCCGAGCCATTTCCAGACTTTCTAAGCTGCTAATAGTACTGATAGTATTGCATGTGCACTACACACCTACACACTTCTGACAATACAGGGTTTTACAGGCTGAATTTATCAGGGGAAGTGCAAATAACTCCTCAAGCACTGTTAGTCTTTCTTTCTGAATTAAATGTTTCATTTTAAAAATTATATCATGAATCAATCTTTAATTATAACTCTTTTTGTCTGCCTATTGCCTGTAGCTCACATCAGAATAATAACAATGAGCATAATGAATTGTGTTTATAACCCACAGCATTATGGAATAATGAGAAAAGCTGAGGACACAGAGGAGGATGTGGGGCAGCAGAGAGGAAAAGAAGAAATCGGAATAAAACAAAGGAGAGAAGAAAAAGGAAAGGAAAAGAAGGCAATGGAACCAATAGCTACGGGAGAGAGTAAGAATAAAAAGTCAAAAGGGAGAAGAAAAAAGAACAAGTGAATGTGGAGGAAGAGAGGTGAAAACAAGAGGAAAATGAACAACATAACTGTGGTTGCTGATGTAAATCTCCCTCAGGTTAAAACAAGATGATAATTAAAAAAGTACCGCAGGGTCACACTGTGACTGTGTGTGTGTGTTTTAGAGAGAGAGAGAAAGAGAGTGTGTTCGTGTGTGTCTTACTGTGCAGCCTTTATTGCTGTAGGTAGGTTTGTGTGCATTGGGTGTGGGGGGTGGCCATTAAAAGGTGTCCCTGCTGCAATCAGTGTACAGAGGCCTTAGGGCCTATTTGTTGCTACATCAATCTGGAGTTAATGGAAACACGCAAACGCACACTCATACACAACAGCCAAACATTTTCTGCCTACAGTGCTAACATTGTCAGGGAGACGGCTGAACAGCAAGAAACACGCATGTAAGCCTGCACGTATGCACTTGAATGCACACGTGCAGCTGGCAAGGAAGCCAGCCAACCGGGGCCCACAGCAGAACACAACACACACTGTTTAGTACACAAGCAAATCATAATGAGATCCCTTCAGTTTTTAAATTCCTGTCTCCTTATTTCTGTCTTAGATTTCTTTATCAGACCTTTCTTGTCATTATCGAAATAGCTGTTTTTGTTCATATTCCTAACAAGAACCTGAATTCCTCTTGTTTTGTGCTAAAGGGGCTAAAATATCAATTTTGAGGTTGACATAAGTTGCAAATATAAACATCCTTTACTCCCAATCTGAAAATTTCCCAGTGAAGATGAACCAAAGTGACATTCTGCCAGTTTTTCACAGTAGATAAGGCAGCGCTGTAGCGAGTCCTATGTTGGCTCTGTAAATGTTTTAGCACAAAGTAAACTGGGTAAAGCATATAAGTGTTAATTGCTGACTAGATGTGATAAAAGAAAAGAAAGGCAGCAGGGTGGGAATAAGCAGACTGATAGAGAGCACGAGGCCAACAGAGCAGCCAGAGGCACCGTTTTTCAATTGCATGACCCAAGACACCAAATCCCCATCAGCTCCAGGGCTCCCATTCTGTAGCCGAAACAGACCTCTGACCTGCCGAGTGAGAGATGCGATTCCCCTAAAGCAGGGGTGGGCAAACTTCGGCCCGCAGAAGATTGGTACACAATTGCCCAAATCAAATGTAATACCTGGCGTTCCACCAGGTGGCGCATTACGCACAGTGATAGACTTAGAGGAAACGTCGGGTTGCTCAAAAGAAACTAGGAGAGGGTGAAAGAGGACAACCCTGAGCAGGAGGTGATTTTCTTACACTACATAATCCACCAGGAAGTGAAGCCAGTTGTAAAAGTTGTTAACTTTATTTGAGTGAAGGGACTTTAGCATCGTCAGTTTCTCGAAGACACTGACGCTGATCACCAGGACATTCTTTTCCACTCCAATGTCTGCAGGTTAAGTTTGGGGAAAGTATGTCAACGAGTGTGGGAGCTCAAAAGGGAGATTCTCGCATTTTTGGAGATACTTCAGAAAGCTGACTTTGTGATTTAGCTTCCTAACATACTGACACACATCAATGAGCTGAACGTGAAGCTGAAGTGATTTTGGAAAAGTTGACACATCACTTCAGCTGGTGTTATGTCCCTTCGCACAAGACCCTGAAATGGAGCCACAGGAGTTGCAGAACTGATTGATCTCCAATGTGACAACGTCTTAAAGGAGAAGTTTAACTCTCTTTAACTGGATTAGTTTTATCCTTCATTAAGCGCAGACAAATTTCCAAACATCCAGAAGATGACACAGAGGATGCTGGTGCTGTTTGGCTCTACCTATTTGTGTGAACACACTTTTAGTGTGATGAACACCTACAAAGCAGCCCACAGATCCCAGTTGAGTGATGAACACCTCAGATCTGTTCTGAGAATTGCCACAACAAAACTCACACCAGACTTCCACGCACTGGCAAAAAAGGGTGATCAGCAACACTGTTCCCACTAAAAGTGAATGTAAGTATTAACACCGTAATGCCTTTTTTATGTTTATGTTTGATATGTATGCATCTGGTGCTAGCCTGGCCCATCTGTCAAATTTTAAAAATCAATGTGGCCCCTGAGCCAAAATGTTTGCCCACCCCTGCCCTAAAGGCTTCAGTAAAATGTCACCATCAAGTCCCCAGAAACAGCAGCAGGTGATGAGGTGGTTCTGGCATCGTGGCCACAGTCAGAACTACAGGTCACGTAATGCCCACTGGCCCCAAAAGAAAATGTAACTAAACATGGGGGCAATGGTGACGCTATGGAGACGGCAAGAACTGTTGGTTCGTCAGCTTTGGCTGCTCGTGTGTTTTCCTACAAATTCACTGATGATGGCAGAGATTGGTGAGAGTGAAGGGAACATATACGCAAGTTGAAGAAAGGCTCAGCAGTGAAACACACATCTTCTGTAACACAGCCATGCCCACTGTACGCCTCTTTCTGCGGTCGTAGCTTGATCACAATGAATGAAATCTTCTTAAAATAGCCTTATATTCAGAGTGAAAAGAAGCAGACTTTTCCACCATTGCTCATATCACAAAGTAAATGGAAGAGTGTGAACAAAGTTACTGTGAGGAATATAATGCACAAAGCACCCACCAGAAAATCAAGTCGATGGTATGTTTTGCAGGACTCCTTATAACCACTTATATCAAGTCAAATCAAGCACTAGTGTTCAGTAATGTCTGAAGGTCACACCAGAATGGCAGCTGAGCTGACCTCTTCTGGCGTGACAGGCAGACAAGTGTCAGTGGTAGTGTCCCAATAGGGCACAGAAACACCACAGAAATGAACGCTTTGCACCAAAAATGGAGACAGCATTTTTAAAATGAGGACCTCAAAGAATTACCACTTTAACGTGAGAATAAAGAAATAGAGAAGAGCTGTCCTTACCAGGCGTGATCTCTATCACGGTGTCCTGTCTCTCCGGGGGGAAAAGGACCTTGGGAGGCTGAGTGGTCTGGAGAGCTGAGAGAGAGAGAGAAAGAGATACAGGGGGAAGGTTGATTATCAGGAGTGTGTTGGTCTGGGGGACCCACATCATCATGAACACACAACATAACAAACACACATCCATCATATCCATCCAACTATTAAGATGTACGACGGGTTTGAATAGAAAAAAAATTAAGGGATCTTCTTGAAAAGAAAAGTTCAAACATTGCACAAGAACCACTCATGTGAGTGATTTCCTTGTAATTACATTTTTCTCTTAAGCGCAAACATATACATAATATGTCATACAATTAAATGGACTGTACCTGTATAGCTCCTCTCAAGTCTTCAGACCACAAAAGCACTTGACTTTACATGTCACATTCACGCACATTACATGCACTGATGGAAGAAGCAACCATGCAAGCTGCTTATCAGAAACAGAAACTAATCAGGGCACAGCCATCGCTCTACCTCCTGAGCCACAGTATAACAGTATAAACAGTATAAATTACACTTCAAAATGATGTTGACATTATCCTGTTTGACTCAACAATTCAAATTACAATATAATTATACATTTATTCATATTGCCTAACAATATTATCATTCATTTAACATGGTTAGTGATCCTTCTGTATAACACCATAATCTCAAAATGAACATCTCAAACTGCAAAACGACTTAAATGATGCACAAACTGAAGGTTAATTTGTCTCTGTATATTATAAGGTCAGCTGGAAATGTAATCCTTTGGATGCCTTAGCACGTCAGGCCCGTGGAAGAGAGTGACAGCGTGCTGATATATTGGCAGAGACAGATGAATGGTTGTTGTTGCGGTTTAGATTACCACGGGTTGTGCCTCTGCAAATGTGAAACTCCGCAGACAGACACACCGATCCAACCCTATTCCCTTAATTCCACTGCTGACGCTGTTAAAAATGACAGACCCCTTTATGGATCTCTGACAGCAGGACTTCAATTTCTAAACTCGTAAAGTGTCTTTTCTTTTTCTTCTTTTTTAAAGTTTAAAGCTTCTTTTTACTCTTCGATGTCATTTTCATGAATTAACACTTCCTGACATGTGTTAGGACACGTAGCCTTTGTAGTGTACCAACAGTGTGGATGTGTGCATTTTATATCAAATAAATTTGGACTACTCCAAATTCTTTCTCTCTCCCTGGGAGAGAGAAAATGAGGTGGTGAGAAATCAACTCAACAGACGGCTGAAGAGACCGCAAAGGAAGAGGTGAAAGGTTTGCTCTCCCTAAGTGCTGTTTCTGGGCAGTCTGATCGTAAAACTGGCCACCTTTGGCAGCAGCCGTGATATGCCTTGGCGCCTGACTGTTAAAATCACAAAAGAAACACTCTAGCTTTCTCCTGAACAGCCTATTGGAACTCTTCATAAGAGAGGGCAGGAAACCCTAAACTGCCCCCCCCCACATGCGTAACCACGGCAACTGACCTTGCTCTTTGTTAGAGTACCTCACATCAAAGGATATTCTCCTTTTCACAGCCAGATGCAAATTTGAGAAACTCCAGGACACCAGGAGGACAGCCCTGAACTCCACTGTGTAAACAAGAGTACTGTCTCCTCAAGACTCAAAAATTACCTTGTTTAATTAAATTTTCAGCAAGGTCACCTGACTTTATTCATTTTATTTGTAACCAATGCTTCACAAAAATTCAACAAAAATGTTCACAATACTTTCTGACACTTCCTTTAGAAATGATGATAATGAAATGTCATTCTATACTCGATTAATTTCCCAGCTCCTGAGAAAATTGTTTTAGGATTATTCAGAGCTATCCTCATGTAACCCGAGCTCCCCCAAGTGGACAAAATAAGTATTACATGCCATCATCTGAAATGCCGTTTAATGTATTTACCTGTCCATAATCTAATGCCATTCGTGTATCTTGCTTCTATTCTCTAAGAACGTGTAACAGCCAATATATCCAGAAAGCTAGTTAAGTTCTTCTAATCTGATGTGATTCATTCTGAAATGCTAGCCTCAAAGTTGAACTACTGACAATTGTTTTCCTTTTATCAAGTGCTTCAAACTAAGAATGGTATACCCGTTTGACAATTAAGGTTTGATTGTGGGAAGATATTTGATTACAATACACGCAAATAGATTTTTTTGATTAGACATTAAAGTTAAGGAAACCGCAAACAAGCCCTCCCTCAGGGGAACAAAGGACTGCCCTCTGGGAACCACGCCCCAACAGACAAAAGCAGCGACCCACGTTGTCTCGGTCTCTCTTGTCCTCTTTTTGTTGCTGGCTCTCCAACTGCGCTTCAGCACGCGCCCTGCGTGCTCCCTCTCCCGGCAACGCCCTAAGATTCGACTCGGCACAGCAAAGGCTTGTTTGTTTTCAAGCCACACCCGAGAAGTGCCGCGACCTCAGCTTTCCCTCGTTTAACAGCAACTTTACTTGCGTTTTATTTTCTTTGGTTTTGTTTTGTTAAAACAACCTTTGATATGATACTGACTGACTGACTGATTTAAGATAATTGAGCAATTATTAACTAACTGATCACTAGTGAATAATTGTAAAATTATTAAAACCATACTAAGAGGTCCAGACACTCTGGGCAAATTGGACCCGAAATGAGATTTATGAATGAATATTCTCTGAATATTAAAATTCATAATTTTGTATTAATTCTCATAAATTTATTAAAACATAGTAGTCATGCTACACCTTATATGGGCTTATTGGGGCATTCATTGTGCTAATTTACTAATCTCATGCCCTCAATCACGCACAGAAAGCATCATGCTTACGCATGCCATTTAAACAGTTATCTGATATTAGGACTGTTTGCTGAAACTGGTACGAGCTCACCGCACAGAAAAAAGTAAGAGAAAGTTAAGATAAGAATATGAAAACACTGAGGCCCACTGTATGTTTAATTCACTCACTGTAGCAATAATCTGTATGTCTTTTTTTCAATCAAAACAAAAACCGCTTCACTTTAATGTACCAGCACTTGTGTCAAAAGCACAGGAAGAGTTACTGCAAGGACAGATAGAGCTAAAAGAAAAAAACAAGAAGGATCAGAGAGTTGGAGAGTGACAAACAAAGATAACATATTATTAGATTGGTCTGAGGTCTGAGTTAGCCTGAAAAAACCAATGTGACTGTAGCTCCACAGTACACTATTTTGTAACAGAAAGGCCGAGGGAGAATGCTGACCTTTGCTCTACCAATTGATCACTGCCCTGCAGCATCACAAAACCAAATATACAGAGACCGGAGCTCACTGTCTGTCACACCAAGGAGATGCTGCCTCAGCCACAGAGGCAGCTCAGTGCACAGCCCATCTCACCCCCCAACGCTCTCTATTGAAATATTGGTTCACTTGTCATGATATTTCCTGTACTTGTCTGTGACTTAACAACTTCAATTACAAAGCTGCAGCAGCCATATCAGAGATAACTCAGCACATTGTTCAGAGTGTGGTGCCCCACCTACTGTCCTGGAGGCTGTCCTGGCTAACCTCAGCAGGTAACTGGCATCTTTGGGAGGGTCGTCAGCTGATTGAGCTTGCCTGGGCCCATGCAATCAGTTCGGTCTCTCCCTAAGTGTCTTGCGTGGACTCCATCTTTGTCACATTCCCTGGGCCAGTTTGTGACAGGAGGCGTTCCACACTTAGAACCCATTCCTCTGACTTTCAGAGAAACGGCCGGGCCACGCAGCCTACCTGAGCAGTGGATGTGTATCACAGAACGGGAACGAGACACTGCGTCGGTTACGACACTATGGGAACGCCTCTAGGTGTAGCAGGTCTGAACGTGAATGAAATCACTCCAATCCTATTGGCTTGTTGCTAGAACGGTAAGGTGTGACGGAATAACCGGAGGAGTATAAAGCACACCTGTACACACTCATCATTAGCTTAAACTATGAAGCAGGCGCTTCAGGCAGGGAGAGAGGTGCGGCGGGCCGACGCAGTGTCTTGTTCCCCTTCTCGGGGAACCAGGGTTACATATGTAACCCAAGACGTTCCCCTTCGAGGAAACTCGAACTGCGTCGGTTACGACACTATGGGAACGAGATACCCACTAAACCATGCCGAAAACCCCGCCTGCCCCAGTGTGCAATAAAGTGGCACGACTAAGAGGAGAGCGCACGAGTGCCAGGTGCCGAAGGAAGGTCAAGACTGTAAAACCGAATGAATGTGTGCGGAGTGGCCCAGCCAGCCGCTAACAAACATCCTGCAAAGAGGCCCCGGAAAGGAGGGCTCGAGAGGCCGCCATACTTCTGGTAGAATGAGCCCTCACAGCCACAGGTGAAGGCAAACCGCGCACCTGATAGGCCAGGGAAATAGTCTGAACAATCCAGTTGCTAATAGTATGTTTGGATGCAGGGAGCCCAGCCCTGGGGGACCCAAAACACACTAGCAGCTGGTCAGCCTTCCTCCAACGGGAGGACTTCAGAGTGTAACACTCAGTGCTCTGACAGGGCAGAGCAGATGAAGTCTCCCATCCTCCGCCGTCACATGAGGTGGAGGATGAAATGCCTGCAGCACTGTGGACCCTGCCGCACAAGAAGGCACATTAGGGATCCTGGACGAGGGTGCCGGATAGCCCTAATATTCCCCGGGGCAAACTCCAGGCTTGCGGAGAAACCGAAAGCGCTTGGAGATCCCCCACCCTCCTCAGAGAGGTGATAGCAAGGAGAAAGGCCATCTTGAGGGTCAAGTGCTTAGCCTCAGCTGACTCCAGGGGTTCGAAGGGGGCCTCAGCCAACGCCTCAAGAACCACCGCCAGATCCCAAGTGGGAACCTTGGACCGAGTCGCAAGTCTCATCCTCCAGGCACCACGGAGGATCCGTGTGGACGGGGCCCTGGAGCTGAGGAGGGTCTCGACTGCTCTGGCTGTTAGACCCGCCTCTAGGTACTGTGCCCCCTCAGGGGCCAGACCCACAGTCGCCATATGGCGGGGCAAGGGTGAAGAACCCGGCCCTGGTCTCTCCTCAGAGGGAGCGATCATGATGTCCGAGAACCACACCCACAGAACGGG